AGCACACGTCTGAACTCCAGTCACCGCTCATTATCTCGTATGCCGTCTTCTGCTTAAAAAAAAAAAAAACAAAAATGAAAATTTAAAAAAAAATAAAAAAAAATAATAAACTAAAGTCAAGTAAAATACTTTAAAAAAAGAAAAAAAAAACAAAAAATTTAATAAAACGCATCTAGGGAAGACAAAAGAGAGAAAAAAATTCATTTATTTAGGAATTGAAAAAGCGAGGAGTTTTGTCCGAGCTTCAAGCTTATGCTGTGTCTAGGCGCCAACTAGACACGTTTTTTAGAACACTGCTTTATACTAATTTATTAATTTAAGTTTGTATTGTGAAAAATATATTTGTATTATAATGTATATGTTTAGAATGATTAAATTTAAGTGTTATGTAGAAATTTCATAGCAATATATTTATTTTCAATTAATTAAAAGATGTTATTTTAATATCACTAAAATCGGGTTTTAAAATCAAATCGACCACAAAAAATGGTTTGATTTGGTTTGGAATTTTTTTCGAACCAATTAATATTGTTTGATTTGAGAAAATTTCAAAAATGATCCAAACCTAACAATGTTTAAGTCTCAAATCTTATGAGTTTAGGCATGCCTAAACAAAGTCTACTTATAATAAAGCATTGTCCTATTTTTTATAATATTTATATTATTCTAGATCAACAAATAATATATACCTTGAATATTTATAGAAAATTTATACATTTCAAATTTTAACAAAAAAATATAATTCTCAAAATCATAAATACTACAATTACTTAGCGATGATTTCTTGCCTGAAATGCTTGCATCATGTTATATCCAAAATATATTATTTATTATTTTAATTTATACTTCTAAATTTAGTAATTTACTTGCTAGGGGTTCTATTGGCTTTTTAGAGAAATAATAATTCATGATAATATTTCTTATTATTTTACAAGCACAAATTTTAAGGTTGAACGTTATACTAGTGTTCTAAAAAGGCGTAAAGCGTGGCTACATGTGGATGCAAAATTTCAACAAGTACAAGCTTAAGCGTTTTCTTATTTTTAATATTATTTTAATTTTTAATCATTAAACGATTAAAATAATACTTATCAAAGATCTAAAACTATAAAATACTATATTTACTTAATAATGATAATATTTCTTATTATTTTACAAGCACAAATTTTAAGGTTGTACTTTATACTAGTGTTCTAAAAAGGCGTAAAGCGTGGCTAGATGTGAATAAAAATTTCAACAAGTACAAGCTTAAGCGTTTTCTTATTTTTAATATTATTTTAATTTTTAATTATTTAACGATTAAAATAATACTGATCAAAGATCTAAATCTATAAAATACTATATTTACTTAATAATTCCTATAATTAGTTAATTATACAATTTTTAGATTTTTGAAATTCAAAAATTAGACTATTTTTCATAGTTTAAATTTTTAACTAGACAAATCATACTTAATAAATTTATAGGAATTTCATTCATGCTTTCGAATTTTTCAACAAAATAACGAGTCTAAAGATCGTAATTTCAAATGTAGATAGCACTGTAACTTAATCTCATTTAACTATTTATCGAATAAATTTATTTTTCACTTTTGTACAGATAAAATCTTTTAAAAACTTGAAACTAAAGTCAAATGAAAAGTTTTTTTAAAAAAATAAAAAATTAATAAACCAAAGTCAAGTAAAAAACGTTTAAAAAAATAAAAATTTAATAAAACGCGCCTAAGGAAGACAAAAGAGAGAAAAAAAAATTCAATTATTTAGGAATTGAAAAAAAAAAAGCACCTAGGCGCAAAGCGAGACATTTTGTCCGAGCTCAAGCCTATGCAGTGTCTAGGCGCCGACTAGACAAGTTTTTTAGAACACTACTTTATACTAATTTATTAATTTAAGTTTGTATTGTGACAAATATATTTGTATTATAATGTATATGTTTAGAATGATTAAATTTA